ATTTTTTTATAGTTAAACAAGTATATATTGTTTATTAAATTTTTATAAAAAACAAATAATATATAATATATTATATTGTATAAACTATTTTACTGTTTTGAATACTTGTTTTCAATTAATATCTTTAAATAAAGGTGAAAAAAATTACTTTTTTTAATATTTACTTAAAAAATTTAATATTAAAAATTATTGCTTGTATTTTATTAAATTTATTACTATAATTTAAAATAAATAAATAATTTTTTACTTTAAATTATTAATAAAATAATATAAATACAGCAACAAATAATATTAAACTTAATTGTTAAAATAAAAATAAATAATAATTCAAATAATTTTAATTTAATTTTATATAATATTTTTATATTAAATAAAATATATAAATATATTAACAAATTTAAAAAAAAATTAAAAAAAAAATTATATAAACATATTATTAAATATTACAAGTTAAATTATTTATTAATTTTATTATAATATAATTTTTAAAAAATAATCATAAGATAAAAATAATTTAAAAAAAAGATAACAAAAATTTTTTTCATAATTGAAATTTTTATAATTATTAAACGAATATTTATTTAAAAAAATTATTTAATTTATTGATTTGTTCCTTTATTTTACTTTTTTTTTAAAAATAGAAATTAAATGAAAATTAAAAAATACAATATAAAAATTTTGTTAAAAATTAAAATATCAAATTAAATAATAAATTAGTTAATAAAATAATTTTAAGTAAAATTATTTATAGATATTTATTCAATTATATTTAATAATTTTTGCTAAATTACAAATATTTTTTGTAACATTTTATATAAAATAGTAAAAAAAAAATTAATATTATATTAAAATACAATCAGAATTTATAATATATAATCTATAAAAATAATTTGCAAGTAATAATCTTATTAATTACAATTTTATTTGATAAACAAACAACTTATTATTTCTATAAATTATATTTAAAAATCTAATATAACTAATGAATAAGCTGAACCAAATATGCAATTTTTATTGTAATGATTCAATGTAATTTTAATGAACAATCTGATTAAGAGTTAAAAAAAAAGTAATTATATTTATTAAGATTTATAAAAATTTTTTATTCTAAATTATTAGATGGATTCAATTTTTAAAATAAAATATGTTTTGATATTGTTTAAATGTTTATAATAAAAAATTTTTTTATTTAAAATCTTTACAAAATAGTTTGTAATTAATTTGTAAATATTCTCAAGTATTAATTTTATTTTAATAATTACATTTGGTGTTTAGTATTTATTCAAAATTCTAATTCTTGTTTTCAAATTGATCTTATTCGCATAAAGCTCCTTATCCAGCAAAGCTTTCTTACTAGCCTTGGGTGATATTGCCCACTGTTTTTGAGTTGTATATATATGTTCCAAATTATGATTCATTACGTACCTTCATATTTCATCATTTCAGTTGTTAATGAAGGCTTCACTAACTCCAATGCACTAAAAAAATCACACATATTCTACTCATGTGTTTTAGTGAAAAAATGGCAAAAGTAAATAATCTCAAAGTATAATAAATAATTTTAAACACAAATATAAGTAATTTTACCACGCTCATCGTATCCCTCTCCGCTCGCAATGCAATCATAGCGGATTCTCTACATAAATTCTTGAGATCTGCTCCAGTGTACATTTCAGTCTTGAAACAATAATATTAAGTCAAATCTCTGCGTCTAAACAAACTTTAATGTGAACATTCGATATTGTTAGAATTTACCTTTTCTGCAATAGCATCCAAATCGACATCTTTGCACAATGGCATCTTTGAAGCGTGTATCCTTAAAATTTGCTTTCTCGCCGACAGATTCGGTGGCGGAACCTAAAAATGTTTCATTGTGCAAATAAGTTGAATAATACTGTTTCTTGGAAATACGAGAAAAATGACATAATCACATATATAAGCTTATCGAATCTTCCAGGTCTCAACAGTGCATCGTCAACCATATCTGGTCGATTGGTGGCACCCTTGATATTAAACAGTTATAAACTGATTCGAAACGAACGAAAGGCTAAAAAGAAAGCAAAGTTGAAATTCACCACCACGAGAACATTGTTGGTAATCTCGATACCATCCATCTCGTTTAATAATGTCGACAGCACGCGCTCCTGTACATTATTGCCACCACCGAGTTCTCCATTTAATGATCTTTTTCCAACGATGGCATCAATTTCATCAAAAAATATAACGGAAGGGATCGATGCGCGCGCTCTTCGAAAGGTGGATCTTACTAAATAAAAAACGTGAAGATTTAATTATCAGGAAGAATTTGAAACAGTATAGATCAATGGATCATTATCGTGATGAAGCAAAGATTACTAATTTTTTCCGAGTCACCAACAAAAGGTGAATAAAGCTCCGCCCCGTTTATGGAAAGAAATGTAACTCCAGTGGTCGCGGCTATTACCTAGATCTAAAGTTAGCATAAAATACAATACAAAAATGAAATCAAATCATTTTTACCTTAACCAAAGTAGTTTTGCTGCATCCCGGTGGTCCGTATAACAGGATTCCCCGAGGCGGTTTCAAGCCTAATCTTTTAAAGGTAGTATGACATTTCAGGGGCCATTCCACAGCTTGAATTATTTGCTAGACACAAGCAGAATTATTAGAAATCGTATCATCGCAAGCCTTATTGGCATATAAACAAATTAGGTTAAATACCTTTTTAACTGATTCCAAGCCGCCGATGTCATCCCAACTTGTCTTTTCAACATTCACCTGAAATCCGCGTTGTATTGAGGGAAGAACGTGTGACATCGCATTCAAGAAATCACCCATGGTAATGACAGACCGAATACTATGATGAGATAGGTTGTTTTGTAAATAAGTCCTCACTGTCCCTTGAATAGAGTAACGCGGCTCATACTTTAAGAATCCTTCATTGCTATCGGATGATCTTAATTTACGATGAACAGCATTCATCGCAGCTTCCCGACAGAGCGATGCCAAATCAGCACCGACGTATCCGCTTGTAATGGAAGCCAACGATCCTGAGCAAGAATTCACGTCACCGCAAGGAAAGAGGAACGCATAATATATCAATGGAATTCTTACCAATATTAACATCATCACCAAGAGGCACGGCGGAAGTTAGTGATTTCAAAATTTTACAACGCGATTCTTCCGATGGCACGTCAACCGCAACTTCGCGATCGAACCTGATACATTAAAAGTTAATAGATAACGGTGACAGCTTGCATGCAAACAACTTATAATACCGTCCAGGCCTTCTTAAAGCTGGATCGATAGCATTTGGTCTATTGGTTGCCGCCAAAACCACCAACCTCCCTCGGGACTCCATACCATCCATCAATGTCAAGAGTTGTGCAACCACGCGTGACTCGTGAGATTGAGCTTCGGCTCTATGAGGCGTCAATGCATCCTATTCGTAAATAGTATAAGAAAATAAATAATTCTAGCATTGAAAACGCGTTACAGAGATGTACCGACCAATTCGTCGATGAATAAAATGATTGGACGATTTTCTTCGATGGTTAAAGATTTAGCTTGTGAGAATATATTTCGTAGTCTCGCCTCGCTTTCGCCGACATACGTGCCAAACACGTCCGGTCCGTGAATTGAAATCTGAAAGGTTATAATATAAGCGTTTGTGAATCAATGGAAAAGCGACAATACTTAATTCAAAATGAAGTTACCATTTTCGCATTACAGGCCTTTGCGATTTCGTTGACGAGAAAGGTTTTTCCAACGCCAGGTGGCCCGTAAATCAAAACACCTAAAAATGAGATGAAACTTTAAAAACA